ATACTGGAGCATGGTTTACATTATCTTCAGGCTGGCCTACTCTGCTTAAAGCCAACCTGTACCTCCTATGGGAAGATGCATTTTGGCAGAAAAAGTACCAGAAGTCATTGTAAAAATGGGTTTTACCTGGATAAAGACACAGAAACAGTACATCAAGGCAGATAGTGGACACCAAGACTTTAAAATGCTGTGTTGAAAGCCTGGGATGAGGAGAGACGAGGACAAATGTCATCCATCCGCAGAGAGCCAGGAAGCCTTCAAGATCAGTCTCAGAGGCAATGGAGCCAGAGGGTTATGGCCATCAATATCAGGAATTGAGGCTCAATCCGAATGGGGTGCTGCAAAATGTTCAGTGATCTCACATGAGTAGTTAAAGTCAGTGAATGCACCTTCAAGCTCAATATAACACACCACTGGCATCATTCATTGATCAACGCACCATCTTCCATCATTCACATAATGACAGTCTTTATCAATTATAACTCACATTTCACATTTGTGACTTCAGCTCACCCTCATCATATTTTGCATAGCTGGAAGCCACATATCCACGTCTCACAAAATTTACACACAGCCAGCTAACCAAGAAAGAGCATGGCAGCTGCATTGCACCATGCTCACTGTCTCAGATTGCACTTAATCGCAGGATAAGGTGGCACATAACTGGAGGGAGCAGCACTGTAAGCTGTGAGGGACAAGTGACATTATATGCACTTCCTTGCATTGAGGAGATGGTGCCTGCCATTATTGGTGTGACGCTGACAGACGGAGTGTCCAGCAGTGGGTTTGAAACCATCATTCACTCCTTCCACTCCACTAGGCATTTGCTGGGCCCATCAAGCAGCCAGCCCAGACTACTGGCCCTTGCCAAGATGATGAAAACCGAAGCTGTGTCTTCTAGGGTCAAAGCTGCTGAAGGTTGTCCTGCAAGACCATTGTGGTTTTCACCATTGAAAATCATCAACCTTCCACCAGCCTTGCTACAGCCATTAGTGTAGTGTTGCATAAGAGTACTAGGATAGACTCACTGAAGACAGGCACCAAGTTAATGCAGAAGAGTGATTAGCTGCGTCTTCTATGCAATCTGGAATGTTCAAGTTACAAACTCTGCTGGAATGCTGGTTTTGTAGTGGTTTGCGTTTTGATCTTGTGGTTCAGAGTATAATGTGATGGTCAGTGACAGAGGGATGGTAAACTGTGAGCTGTTGATGAATGGGGAATTCGGGATGCCTTCTTTTGTTGCACATTTAGATGAGCTGACCAGTTTGAAAGGAACAGTGTTACTTGCCTCCTCTCTTCCTGCTCCTGAGCTGGTTACTATTTAGCTGGTGCCAAGGTCTGTCTCCTCATGACAGTGAGACTGCACCATGCAGCATGCCATGACAAACTTTGACACATTCTGCTGAATACTGCAGAATTCTTCAAGAGTGGCCCAGGCAACAGTAACATAGCGTAATTCCCAATGGCATTCCCAGTCACATTTTGTTTGTCAACATGGCTTTTATTGTATGCATGTTGCATGCGTATGTGTGTGTGTGTCTGTGTGTGCCTGTGTGCATGTGTCTGTGTGTGTGCGTGTGTGCGCACGCGTGTGTGTGCGTGTGCATGTGTGCATGTATGTGTGTGTGTGTGTGCGTGTGCACAGAGCTCTGATCCATGTGGCCAATGAACAGCTCATGTCTCTCAGTAGCTACTGCTGTAGTTTGTAATAGTGGCAGGTGGCACTGCAGACCACTGCAAAATGAAGGCACTGCTGTCAGGTTACTGGGCGTTGAATTGTACATTATGCTGTATGGCCGTACATGTGCGAATGTTCAGAGAGGTGGAATTCCTTCCAGTTGTGATAGACCTCAGTGTTGATACATAGTGCCCACAAAACAACATGTGTGCAGTGAAAAGCACCCTGCACCTTGGGGAAACATGCAGTCACATAAAGCGGCGTGCTTGCTTTGCCTCCTGCTTACTGACAAGAGAGAATCAAATGTATTCAGCTGTGTAGAGCCTCAATGACTTTCCTATACAACATTGGAGAGCAAACTCAGAAAAGTTCCAAATATCGTCTGCTCAAAACCGGAAGAAGCCACAGACATAACAGTGCATGGTCAAACTCAATTTCAGAGCCTCTGGCAATGCTGGCTGTAATGCTGCAGTTATGGCCGCAAGAAGTGGTAGGTTTCAGTGAAGACCTTCTTAGTGAAGCAGGGACATCTAACATACTTCTTCTTGCTTTTAGCATTGAAATTTGCAGTCTTCTGTTCAGAGTACTTCTCCCACTCTTCCTCCTCCCTCTTCAAGCAGCTCCGTTTCACCTCTCATTCTCCCTGTCATGCTGTGGGCCAAAGTGGGTGCAAACCGTTGCAGACTTCCAATAGCAAGTGGTCATTGCAGAATTCTTGAAATCAGGAGTGAGTCCTTCAGGATGTCCCACTTTAGTCCTTGCAGACTATGACAACTTCACAAATTTCTAGAAAGCACAATTCACTTCTGAAATTGAAGCAGTAGTAGAAAGCAATCAGCAACTAAATTAACTCTTTAAGTAGAGCTGTTGGCAAGTTCATCCTTGTATGTTGTGCAAGGTTAAGAGAAAACCTTAGCTAGAACAATGAACTCCAAGATGGTAATACTGGCATAAGTTCAACATCACACATTGATGGATGTCGCAGTTTGTTAGCTCTTTACACTTCTGGTGAAACCTTCCTGTGCACTTGTTAATGTCCTCATGAAGATGACACTGAAATAACTCCTCTAAGGCTGGTATCCTGTCACCAAGTCACCCTTTATTTACACGTGCACAGTACATGACACTGACCCGGCTAGCTCAGAGCCAGCTCCTAGAGTGAACAGAACTCCTGACACTGCTGCTTATATCTGTCAGCCAGGGCTCCCTGATTGGATCAGGCTAACTGCCCCAATCAGGGAACTCATTCTATGAGTTACATTTGGATGATCTCATTCCAGTCACTGCAGGTACCCATGTGTGGTCAGCACCGGAAATGTGGAAGACATTTTAAAAGCAAAGCAGCTCCTAAAATGCTGAGAAAGCAGGCAACGTGCATCCATATGTTGAGGCCAGCATCTTCAGGAGAGGAGGGACAAAATGAGAAATGCAGATTTTCTTTTATCCAAACAGTGAGTCCAGCCATCCTTTATTACTTTTATGAATAAGCATTGGCCCATTTTTATTCTCTTAGATATTCTGTACTGGTTCTCTGCCATTTTTATACTGTACAGGCACTTGGCAAATCATTAAGTAAATTTCTGCACATTAGCAGGATACATTCAGCAAGTGAAAGTTCATTTGTCCTGGAGTCATGGAAGGCGAACAAGAAGCTCATTGTCTTCACAGTTCATTCAAACAAACACTTGTATCTTTATAATGAAACATCTGGAGGATCCACAATATACAGAGAATACTGAATGAGAGCACAAGGCAAATAAAAGTTTGCCTATGTGTTCCAGCCCTTCCCCCTCCCCAGGCTGGTGCTCCCAACAATATGGATCAAAATTAAACAATTTTCCATTTGTCCTTTTCTTCATATACCCAAATCATTTTCCCAAAGTGAGAGGAAATTAGCAGGTTTCCTGTCATAAAAAAGACAGAACCAATCAGCCCCTAATGATTTTTGACTTGCATATCAGTAAGTTATTATAATTGCCTTTAATTTATCTGCTCCTTCTCTTCATCCACTTTTTCTTCATCCATCCATTCACTCTAATTTTCAATGTTGACAGTGTTTATATCTCAGCAAGAAGTGAAATCCACAGCCTCATGACTCTCTGTGTGAAGGGTTTCTCCTTGTTCTAGACTGAACTACTGTAAAAAAGGCTGGTCTTAAAAAATAATTCCTCCCCTTTTGTTGTTTTAAACATTTCCATCACACTACAACATAACCATGTATTTTTCAAATGTCTGCAACTCTACTTTTTTAAGACTGATTGATATCCAGTGACTCTTGTGGGATATACAAACATTGCTGAGGTTAGAATTGGCCTTACTTTCCAATATTTGAATAGCCTGCAGAATCTCGTTGACTGAGGTCGTAGATTGTATATGAGATTCCCGAGGACTGAATAACAGCCAGCACCCTAACAAGAGGCAGCATCTTCAGGAGTGGTTGAAGGAAATAGGAAAATTCTTTTAACCATAGAATGAGTGTGGCAACCCCTTAGCAGACACATGAATAAACATCCTGTTTCTATATTCCCTGCTAGTCCTCTGCAATTTTCACACCAGCTTTACAGTTGGCAACTGTCTGATGCACCTCTGGGCATGGATAGGGTGAATAGCCAAGGTCTTTTTCCTGGGGTGGGGGATTCCAAACCTAGAGGGCATAGGTTTAAGGTGAGAGTGGAAAGATATAAAAGGGACCTAAGGGGCAACTTTTTCACGCAGAGGATGGTGCATGTATGGAATGACCTGCCTGAGGAGGTGGTGGAGGTTGGTATAAATACAACATTTAAAAGGCATCTGGATGGGTACACGAATAGGAAGGGTTTAGAGGCCAAATGCTGACAAATAGGACTAGCTTAATTTAGGATATTTGATCGGCATGGATGAGTTGGACCGAAGGGTCTGTTTCCGTGCTGTACTATTCTGTGACTCTGACCAACACCATGCATCCTTTGGAAGTTGTGTCCATTTCTTTTATTCCAGTGAGAGGAATTGTTTGTCTGTGAGAGTGAGGTGGGAGCTGCAGAGAGAGGAGTAGGGGGGAGAGAGAGAGAGAGAGCAGATAAAGCATCATCGAACAATGCCCAGATAGAGGAGATGTGGTACAGTTTGAACAATATGTTCTGATTTCTCCCTTCTTTTGGTGATTGGATGGTGCTGGCAGATTTCATCACAGGATGCCACCAATCAGGATAAGACTGCTGTTTGCTGATGTGCCTGCCAACCTGGTAATTACCTCTGCACGCAGCACTGTGCCTGCCAGCAGTGTGCTGGCAGTGAAAAAAATAAGTCTGTGATCGGCATCTGCACGCATAATGGTGAAGAAAGCACAGATATAGCCAGCATAGCAAGGCTGCAAGAGAAGGTGGCGAAAGGTTCAGCTCATTTAAGCCGCTACTTTCTGTTCCAACAATTTAAATTATCTGTTTGAGGACAAGCAGACGGAAGAATATGTCGGAGATGGACAAAAGGACCATTTCTTATTAAAATAATAAGCTGTAAAGGATCAGAGACTGAATGTAAGTGGTCCTTTTCTAACTGTTTCTTTTGTTGTTATTTCAATGCTAGTTATACGGTGTATCAATATGATTTTATGTGCTTGTACTAGACAGCTGTTATTGATGCTGATAATAAATATCATTTATTATGTCTATTCAGCTGCTGAATTTTTTTAGCCCTCCATCTTCGGGATTCTGATGGGGACCAGTGAGGCAGCGCTTCGAATGGAAAATGTTGAACTGAAAGAGGAATGGCAGGATGATGATTTTCCCAGGTTAGCTATCCAGATGCTCACACATCTCTACATTTGCATTCACGCTGAGAACCCATCAATTTTCAAGGGAACACTCCCGACGAAGCTGAGAGTGTCAGGGACACAAAGCCCTGCTGCAAACATTTATGCTGTTAACTGTTTCACTGCCAGCGTCAGTAGGTAGCAGTTCCAGCTTTGTTGCCTGGTACATTTGGCCTTTCAGGGTTTCACTGATTCTTTAAATCTTACTTTTGTCACCTTTCTCCAGAGGGAAGATTAATTATGCCCCTGATTAGGATGCTGGGGGTGTAAATTGGGATGGTATCAGATAGGGTCCTGTGATTCTTGCTGGAAAATTCACATCAGCAAGCGCCAGTGTTAGATGAGAAGACATGTGATACTGCCTGTAGTTGAATAGCCTATTGATTTTTGTCCTGGAGAATAATCAAAAGTGTCACTGTTTTATATGGAGCTGGCACCCAGAGTTCATTAGTGCCTTCAGGAGAGAGGCAAAATTTAGTGGCTCAAAGACAGTGTTTGGAGCAGTGGATCTAACAGACAATCCATCCCTTAGGGGAGGTGATGGCCTAGTGGTATTATTGCTTTACTGTTAATCTAGAGACCCAGATAATGTTCTGGGAACCTGGGTTCAAATCCTGCCATGGCAGATGGTGGAATTTGAATTCAATAAAATATCTGGAATTAACAATCTAATGATGGCTATGAATCCATTGCCAATTGTCAGGAAAAACCTACTGGCTCACTAATGTGCTTGCGGGAAGGAAACTGCCATCCTTACCTGGTCTGGCCTACATGTGACTTCAGACCCACACCAATGTGGTTGTCTCTTAACTGTCCTCTGGGCAATTAGGAATGGGCAATAAATGCTGCCTAGCCAGTGATGCCCTCATCCTGTGAATGAATAAAAAAAATCTCAAATTTATGTCTAAAATATTAAATACAACATACCTGTTGTACCCTTTCATAGTCTCAAGGTGCTTTATATAATAAGTAGAAGTACAGTGACTGCTTTTGTGTAGGAAATAAACAATAACTGATCAACTCGACCAATATCAGATAAACAATCGTGTGACAAATGATCAGTTGTGGGAGGAATGTTAAGCTGCTTGCTCAGCTTCAAATCCTATTACAGGGTCTGTAACTAGGGAACAGTTGGGTGGGGATCTCCATTTAATATTGTCAGCAACAAGGCAAGAGGACTATTAAAAAACACAAAAGATATAGACAAGTTAGATCAGTAGGCAAAAACTGGGCAGATGGAATACAATGTGGGAAAATGTGAGGTTATGCACTTTTCCGGGAAAATTGAGGAGCTGATAAATATTTAAATAGAGAAGGACTGCAGAAGTCTTTAGTACAGAGGGGTTTATGGGTCCTTGTGCGTAAATCACAAGAAGCTGGCAGCGAAATTAGGTAATAGTGAAGACAAGAACATAGGACATAGAACAGTACAGCACAGTACAGGCCCTTCGGCCCATGGTGTTGTGCCAACCTGTTATCCTACTAAGATCAAACTACCCTGCATATCCTACGTTTTACCATCATCCATGTGCCTATCCAAGAGTCGCTTAAATGTCTCTATCTGATTCCACTACTACCGCCAGCAGCACATTCCATGCACCCACCACTCTCTGTGTAAAGAACCTACCTCTGATGTCTCCCCTATACCTTCCTGTAATCAGCTTAAAATTATGCCCCCTCATAATAGTCATTTCTGCCCTGGGAAAAATTCTCTGTGTATCCACTCTATCTATGCCTTTCATCATCTTATACACCTCTATTAAGTCACCTCTCATCCTTCTTCACATCAATGAAAAAAGCCCTAGCTCCCTCAAACCTTTCCTCATAAGACCCGCCCTCCAGTCCAGGCAGCATCCTGGTAAATCTCCTCTGCACCCTCTCTGAAGCTTCCACATCCTTCCTATAATGAGGCGACCAGGACTGAACACAATATTGCAATTGTGGTCTAACCAGGGTTTTATAGAGCTGCAGCATAATCTCGTGGCTCTTAAACTCAATTCCCATGCCAATGAAAGCCAACACACCATATGTCTTCTTTACAACCCTATTAGCTTGGGTAGCAACTTTGAGGGATCTATGCTTGTGGACCCCAAGATCCCTCTGTTCCTCCACACTGCCAAGAATCCTGCCATTAACCCTGTATTCTGCATTCAAATTTAACCTTCCAAAATGAATCACTTCACACTTTTCTGGGTTGAATTCCATCTGTCACTTGTTTGCCCCGCTCTGTAATTGGAGGTCATCCAGAAAAGGTTCACTGTGTTGATCCCAGGTGTGGGAGGATTGTCTTATGAGGAGAGGTTGAGTAGATTGAGCCTGTACTCATTGGAGTTTAGAGGAATGAGAGGTGACCTTATTGAAACATATAATATTCTTAGGGTACCTGACATGGTAGATGTTGAAAGGTTGTGGATAAGTCCCTTGTAGAAGAATATAGAACCAGAGGGTATAATCTCAGAGTAAGAGATCGCCCATTCAAGACAGATAAGGAAGAATTTAATCTCTTAGAGGTAAGTGAATCTGTGGTATTCTTCACCACAGAGGGCTGTAAATGTTGGGGTATTAAGTATATAGAGGTGACACAGTGGCTCAGTGGTTAGCACTGCTGCCTCACAGCACCAGGGACCCATGTTTGATTCCAGCCTTGTGTGACTGTCTGTGTGGAGTTTGCACATTCTCCACATGTCTGCATGGGTTTCCTCCGGGTGCTCCAGTTTCTTCCCACAGTCTAAAGGTGTGCAGTTTAGGTAGATTGGCCATGCTAAATTACCCATAGTGTTCAGGGATGTACAGGCTGGATGGGTTAGCCATGGGAAATGCAGAGTAACATGGAAAGGGTGGGGGGATGGGTCAGGGTGGGATGTTCTCTGGAGGATCTGTGTGGACTTGATGGGCCAAATGGCTTGCTTCCAAACTATAGGGATTCTATGATTCCAGAGGTAAGATTGACAGATTTTTTAAGCACTAAGGAAATTGGATCAGCCGTGATCTCATTGAATGGCGGAGCAGAATTGATGGATCAAATGACATCTTCTACATCTCATGATCTTATAGAAGGTGAAGAGAAATTTATTTGTGCAATGAATTGTTATAATCTGGAATTTTCTGGCTGAAAGAGTAATGGAAGCAGATTTGGTAGTAACTTTTAAAGGGGAAATTGAATATTTACTTGGAAAGGAGAAGCTTGCAGGTCAAGTGGAATGACTTGGTACAGACATGATGGGCTGAATGATCTTGTGTCCTGGATTATTTGATGAATTTTTTTGAAGGATAGAATCTTCAACAACATTTGATGCCACCTTAGGTTTTGTTTCAGGTCCTGGAGTGAGACTTGAACGCACAATTTTCCCAACTCTTAATGAAAAAGCCAAGCAGATACATAGTGTGTTTTAGAGCGAGTCCCACACGACATAGAGGAGTCTTTTTAGAACATTTATCTGTGGATGCTCAAAGTCGTAAAGTCTAATTTCAGCATCTGGAGGGTTCTTAGACAAGCAATTATAACTTAATGGTTAATAACTAACCCTAATAGACAGTTACTGTGTTATTTGTAATCAGGTGAATTGAGAAAGATGTTTCAGAATCCATGTAGAGTGTCATAGCCTGCAAACACCATGAACATTGACAACAAAACTGGCAGGGAAATATTGACAGAAATGTGTGACTGCAAGTTGTAAGACAGGAAGTGCATACCCATGTAAATGTTTCAATACAATATAACTTGTCACTTAGCACTGCATGAAGTGAATGAGTTGGTTAAACATATACAAGTGACTCAATGAGGTGATAGTGTTTAATGCAGAGTCCCAGGTTTAGAACTGCAGCATATCCTAAATGCAGGTCTCTCATAATCCACAAAGTACAATTGGGTAACAGTCGGGATGGTATGTTTTGACACAAGCAGTTCAGATTGAACTTGAACTTTCTGGCAATTCCAGTTGTAAAGGAAAGAGTTGAGCTCGTAATCAACGTTTACTTTTCAGATAAGGAACTGGCTACATATTTTACATTTTAGACTGATAGTGATTGGTATACAGTTGGAGATTGAAGTTCACAGCCCAGCTCCCCTTCCATCTGTGCCTGTTCGCAGAGTTGCTCTCCCATGTGACTTTTGGCCACCATTTATGGGCTTGCCAGCAGTGGAATGGACTGGAGACAGATTTCCCTATTTCCTGCTGGGCAGAAGTAGGAAAAGGAAAAGTCCTGCATTTTTATAGTGCCTTTCACAACCTTACATTATTCCATCAGCCAATGAAATATGTTTGAATTAAGACCAATCATTGAAAGGCAAAGAGCCCTTCATGTGAAGTTAAATAAATTACCAAACAAGAAGAATTTTAATGGGGAGAAATATTTTTACCGAGGGATGCTGTATGATGGTAGTGTTAGTCAGGGTTTTAAAGAGTAAGTGAAAAGGGGCCATTTAAAAACGTTGAGAGCCTGGCCTTCACTTGACAGTCAGCGAAATCAGGAGCTGACTGAGCCAAACAGTGAATGGGGAAACTGCACATGAAGACTTGCAGCTTATCATTCCTTTAAAGGACAAAAATACTGCAGATTCGAGAAATCTGAAAAATTCTTGAAATACGCAGCATGTTTTTCAAGATCTGCCGTAAGGATAAGCAGTAAGTGTCTGGGATTCTGTCAGCCCCCGGGCACGAGCTAGGAGGCAGGTTGGTGAGCCAGTGGTGGGCTGGGGAATAAATTGTGGTAGAGCTGTGGCAGGAGAGTTCCCGGACCTGCCTACCAGTCCCAGAGGTGAGGTTGGCATTGACCTATGTGCCTGCCAATGGAGCACAAGGTCAACTTACATCACTGAAGGGCCAATTAGCTCCATTTTCCTAGGTCCCAGACATTTTGCCAGTGGCAGAGGAACTCATCAGTGAACAGGGTGGCTGGCAGTGGAATGGAAGTGGCCTTTCTCATAATAGTGATTGCTATTATGGCTAGAGGCTCGATGGCCCACAGAGTGGGCCTCTAGCTGCAGTGCCCCCTTTCCTCCGACAGAAGAATAAATGTTTCACCCTCCTCCCCCATAGATTGCCATTGTGGTTCGAGTGGCCACCTACATGAGCTCAGGGTACCCATTGCTCCCAATGTCAGAGTACACCCTGTGCCAAGGGAATCCCGGTCAATTTGTTTTTTAATTCATTCACGAGAGATGGGAGCATCACTGGCTGGGTCAGCATATTTTGGCCATCCCTAATTGCCCAAAGGGCGGTTAAGAGTCAAGCCAACCGCATTGCTGTGGGTCTGGAGTCACATATAGCCCAGACCAGGTAATGGTGGCAGTTTTCTTCCCTAAAAAGCATTAGTGAACCAGTGTGAAGTTGGAGGAACACAGCAGGCCAGGCAGCATCAGAGAAGCAGGAAAGCTGACGTTTCGGGACGGGACCCTTTTTTTTTCTGATGAAGGGTCCCGACCCGAAACGTCAGCTTTCCTGCTCCTCTGTCTGGCCTGCTGTGTTGCCCCAGCTCGACACTGTGTATCTCTGACTCCAGCATCGGCAGTTCTTACTATCTTAGTGAACCAGATGGGTTTTTGCAATAATTGACTCATAGTTCCAGAATTTTGTTGAATTCAAATTCCCCCATCTGACACAGCATGACCTGGGTCTCTGGATTTATAGTCTAGCGATAATACCACTAGGCCATTGCCTCCCTTTGGGTCTGTCCTGACAAAGGGTCACAGGGCTATAACATTAAAACTTTCTGTCACCACAGATGCTGCCTGATCTAGAATCATAGAATGTCTACAGTACAGAAAGAGCCCATTCAGGCCATCGAGTCTGCAGCAACACTGTGAAAAGCTATTCCACTCAGATGCAGACTCCATCCTATCCCTGTAACCACACATTTTTACCATGGCTAATCCACCTAGCCTGCACGTTCCTGGCAGTAGTATTACCAATCAGCCTAACCTGCACATCTTTGGACTAAGGTAGAAAACCAGAGCACCCAGCAGACGCAGGGAGAATGTGCAAACTCCACATAGACAGTCACCCAAGGCTGGAATTGAACCTGGGTCCCTGGCACTGTGAGGCTCCAGTGCTAACCACTGACCCACCCTGAGTGTTTCTAGCATTTTATGTTTATATTGAATGTTGTTGCTTACTGTTACAGAATTTCAGAGTAGCACAACAATAAAGTTAGCACTGTTGCCTCTATTCAAGCTTAAGTATAGCTCTTGTGGGGGAGATTGGCAATTTAGTGCCCATTTTTCTCAGAATGTGAAGACTGATGCACTCTTACTCCTAACTATTGCTTGAAGTGGCCCAAATGTCTTTTGTAACCAGGAGGTGGTCAGATTGCAGCAAATTATTTAAAGTCAGCACTCACTTTCAGTCCCTTAATGTGAAAGATAGCCCTTCACCAACTAGAGCAAAGGAGGATAAAACTGGGAAAAAGGTAGGGTGAAACAAGTAGTAAAACCTGACATTTGCAAGTGGAATATATCCAACAGATTGTCACAATAAATGTTTCCTCAGAACGTCACAGCAGACATTCCCTCGAACCTTCACAGCTAGAATCACCTTTCAAAGATCTTAATTATATTTCTGTATTAAATGAGTGTGCCCTGAGGGTCACAAAGGTCAGCAGATGGTTAGTCTATTTGTTTGAATGAAGTGAAATAATGACCGGAGCCTGACCGGCATGGCAGCTTTTAAGATTTAATATATGACCAATGTGCTGCGTTTCCTCTAAGCCATTTTCAGTTCCAAAAAGGCCATTTGCTAATCACCTATATCATCGATTGAATTAGACCCTATCCACATTACATGGAGTCTTTTACTGTGTGTACCTCAGCATCACATCAGGCAAGTGAATTTGCCCACTGAGACACTGGTTGACATCACTGCGCTATCAGCAAGAGCTTAGAGCTGGATTGCATAATGAGTGTGGAAATTGGACACTGTGAAAAGACAGAGTCAATGATACAAATATGACTTCCATCCATCCAATTTTATCCCATCTTCTCTTGATTATCCTAATTCATAGTCAGATTCAACAGTGATGCTCCTGTTGTGGAATAGCCTCTGCACTCACGATTCAGGCTAAGGCATGAAGAATGGCCACTTAGATAAGGAACCCGAGGGTGAGTGGAACCTGTACTGCAGCAGGGATTCAGCACCTTCAAGAGAGAAGGAGAAACTGAAAGTACCATAATTAATTGATTCTTATCCAGAATTGAATTTATTTTTCTTTCTGTCAGGGCCACAAGCGATTTAATAGCCGGAGTGAACACATTCAATCAATGTGAAAGTGTGCAGTGATAGATTTGAAAACCAGTCTGTGCAAGCAGATATAAAGTGAAGCTCTTGTGACCAGGCTTAATCCTTTGTTCCCATCATCCTGAAGTAATGCTGATCCCTATGGAGATGTTGGGCATGCTCAGTTCACATCTCACTCATTAGAACTGCTTAGCTTATTCCATTTACTCTGTGTGGGGATGTTAGGGGTGACTGTAATATCCCGTGCAAGGAAACATGTCCCAATCATGTGACAGTAACATCAAAATGGTAGCAGGACTGTGAAGCCCCAGCTGTTCCTGCAACACGTTTCTGACAGGAAAGATTATTCTCACATGATTTATTTACTGCCTATTGATGAAAAAAAGTGAACAAGGTGAGGTGCCATTTCTATTTCTGTGCGATGTTTTGATCAGACCTGTGAGAATGAAATGAAATATTAATATTTGCACAATTTAAAAATATAATTGAAGAATTTATTTTGGCTTGTTTGTTTGATGTATCCGAATTTCAGTCTGTTGATGTTTAAGGTGTTACAAAGACATGATTATGTGACAGTGTTTCAGTATTAGACCGGTCTCACTGAATGCAGTGCTATGCAGTACTGTTAACCAGCTGACTTCCATTTTGAACCTTGTATCGTGTCTCTCCTTGCAATTTTTAAATCTGGATTTCTCTGGTGTGCTGCCGCCATTGTATAGAGTGGGTAAACAGTACAAACCATTCTCCATCGATCCCAGGTCTTTGGGGAAAGCCTCCTTGCACTGTGTTCAGCTAAATGTAAAGCCTTTACTTTTGAGCACTGTGATTAATGTTTCAGGATTCCAGCCGGTATCTTTGGAAGTTTCATCATTTCAGCTTTTGCTCCATGGGTAAATGCACTGCCGTAAATTGGAATCGAGCGTCATAGATTAGGAAGGCTCCAAATTTGATCTACAGTTTCAGTTGAGGTCTCTGACCTCAGCTGAACTAATGTTTGATGTGCAGCACTTGACCCCTAACAAGAGGAAAAAAATATTAAGCTAGAATCCTTGTTCTCAATCGGTCCTCATTAACCCCTTCTGTGGAGGATGTGAGTGTTCTTGTTGAATACAGATAATGTCAGACTTAGTTATGTTTTCCTCTTTACTGCCTCAGTTGATGAATGAAGAATTATCACTTGGGCAGCAAGGTAGCTGAGGTGAGCTGATACTTTTGGAAGCTGTCCTCTGCAAGAACAGCATCATCAGGACAAGAGGGGGAAGAGGACTAGGGACGGAAGTTGTCAGTGGGGGTTAATGTGGAGACTGTACATGATAGAAATATATCCCAGAGGAGACTGAACAGAAAGAGAATTTTTGTACATGATTGTCAAATACTATTGAAAATACAGCAGTCTGAGTGATCTCAAATAAATAAGATCCAAATTCTAATTAGAAGCAAAACAAAATAGTCAGTAGTGCAACATTATTCATTTACTGAATGCGGTAGCCATTTTGGACACAGGAAGATCAAAAACTGTTATGAAAGAAATGACCAGTTAATCAAATCCTTTGTTGAGGGGTAAATGCTGACATCGGGAGAAACTCTGCTCTTTGAATAATGTGATGAAATAGACCACAAGATATAGGAGCAGAATTCAATCATTCAGTCCATTGAGTCTTCTCCACCACTTGATCATGTCTGATATGTTCTTCAACCCCATTCTCCTGCCTTCTCCCTGTAACCCTTGATCCTGTTACAAATCAAGCACCTATTTGCATATCTCTGTCTTAAATGACATATCAGTGACATATCCTCCACAGCCTTCTGTGGCAATGAGTTCCATAGAATCACCAACGTCTGGCTAAAGAAATTTCTCCTCATCTCAGTTCTAAAGGGCCATCCATTAACTCTGAGGCTGTGCCCTCAGGTCCTAGTCTGTTCTACTAGCAGAAATATCTTCACCATGTCCACTCTATCCAGGCCTCTCAGTGTTCTGTAAGTTTTAATAAGATCTCCCTCATCCTTCTAAATTCTATTGAGTAGAGTCCCAGAGTCCTCAACCGCTCCTCATAAGACAAGCCCTTCATCTGGGATGATTTTTGTAAACCACCTCTGGAACCTCTCCAAAGCCAGCACATCCTTCCTTAGATATGGAGCCCAAAACTGTTCACAGATTCCAAATGCAGTCTGACCAGAGCCTTATACGCCTTCAGCTATACATCCCTGCAGTTGTATTCTCGCACTCTTGAAATGAATATTAACATTGCACTTGCCCTCCTAACTGACAACTGAACCTGCATCTTGTTATCCACATGAGTCAATAGTAATAATTTTAAATCTAAGATTGATTTTTGTTGCTAGCTGTAGGCATTAAAGGATATGGACCGAAGGCAGGTCGATGGAGTTAAGATACAGATCAGCCTGGATATCATTAATGGTGCAACAGGCTCTTCGGGCTGAATAGCCTATTCTTTTTTCTATATTACTAGAATAGGATAAAAGGTCTCAGTTTGTGGTTGAGATACCCAACTGAAACTGGGTCTGCCTCTGTTTCAAGAACTAAACTTGTTTCCCTGAAACCAAAGACAAACCCAAGACCATCATATAATTGCGCTTCCCATCAAATGTAATACTTTTCTTTTTGCTCTACAGACCAATTCCAGAGGAACAAGGCATGGATGTTCTTGGACGATTGCCAGCTCTAGAAAATAGAACTTGTGAGTCAGTCTGTTCTTTTGTCAGTTTGACTTCTTCAGGCTAGGCATTGGGGCAGGGGAATGGAACCTGTCCAGTCACTTACTTAGCTGCAGTGCAGTATAGCACAGGATACATATAGGATAAAACCCCCTCTTCACTGCTTCATTAAGCATATCCAAGGCACATTGAGCAGAAACTGTATTAAATAGAGAATGACATTTCCTTGATACTGATTCAGCAACGGGCCCCCTAGGAAGAGCAACTCAATTGCCCCAGTGTGCTATATTTCATGTTTCCTACACCAGTTCTGTTGTGGTAAGTCCTCAGTGAGATTGCCTCTTGATGCTGAATAGGGAAAACTCTTATGTTCGAGGAACTCGACTGAGACTCATGAATCCAGTTCACAGTGGAATCTTACAGCAAGCATGTAGAGCAATCTTCACCCTTCTGTCGTGGTTGGATTTGAACCAAATTTTGAGGTAAAAGAATAGAACCTGACTTGATGCTGGAGCCAACTTCTGGACAGGAACTCCTCATTACCTCTCCTCAAAAAGCTAAATTTTCACCCAGAGATGAAAGGAAACTCACTAGGTACTCCCCACTTCAGTCAACACAGTGTGAAGCTGGAGGAACACAGCAAGTCAGGCAGCATCAGAGGAGTAGGAAAGTCGACATTTTGGGTCGGGACCCTTCTTCAGAACTCACCAACATTTCAGGTCAGGACCCTTCTTCAAAATCCCACTTCCTATAAACTAAGGGGGTGGCTATGGGCACCCATATGGGTCCGAGCTATGCCTGCCTCTTCGTAGGATATGTGGAACAGTCCCTTTTCCACTGTTACACTGGCACTATCCCCCAACTCTTCCTCTGTTACATCGATGACTGTATCAGCGCTGCCTCGTGCTCCCATGAGGAGCTTGAACAGTTCATCAACTTTACTAACACCTCTCACCCCAACCTTAAATTCACCTGGACCATCTCTGATATCGCCCTCCCCTTCCTGGACCTCTCTGTCACCATCTCTGGTAACTGCCTCGAAACTGACATCTATTTCAAGCCCACGTACTCCCACAGCTACTGGACGACACCTCCTCCCACCCACCCTCCTGCAAGAATGTGATCCCATACTCCCAATTCCTCTGCCTCCGTCGCATCTACTCCCAAGGTGGAGCGTTCCACTCCTGGACATCCTAGATGTCCTCCTATTTCAAGGACCGCAACTTGCCCCGTCCGGTGATTTAAAATGCCTTCAACTGCATCTCTTGCATTTCCCGTACTTCTGCCTTCAAACCCCCTACCCCCAAACAAAAATAAAGACAGAGTCTCCCTTGTCCTCACATATCACCCCACCAACCTCCGCTACCAGTGCATCATTCTCCACCACTTCTGCCACCTACAATCTGACCCAGAACCAAAGAGATATTTCCCTCCCCACCCTTATCTGCCTTTTGTAGGGACCGCTCACTCCGCAACTCCCTCATCTGCTCCACACTCCCCACTAGCCCCACCACCCTCAGTACCTTTCCCTGCAACCGCAGGAAGTGCTACATCTGCCGCTACACCTCCCCCCTCAACTCCATCCAAGGCCCAAAACTTTCCTGCTCCTCTGATGTTGCCTGATCTGCTGTCTTGCTCCAGCTCCACACTGTGTTGGCACTGACTCCAGCATCGGCAGTTCTTGGTGTCTTTGAGTGACTGATAATTCCCACTTTAGGATATTTTGTGATGATTTTGCTCCATTTTTCAACCATGAAAATCAATGATCTCAATACTCCTCCTGCCTCTAGTTCAGCTGTGTGTACAGTAATGTATTGTATACTGTACTGCACTAATACTTCAGAGAAAATCAAATCCTACCATAGCAATTTGCTTCCAATTTAATAAGATCTGGAAATAAGGAATTTGGCATCAGTAATACTGGTGTCATAAAACCTACCTAGTTCCTTTGAGGCAGGCAAACTTCCATCCTTGCCATGTTACCAACACAGTTGATTCTTAACATGTTCTCTGACGTGGCCTAGCAAGCCACTCAGGTCAAACTGCTCCCTGATAGTTCAAGTAGGAAGCCAACCACTGCACCACTTCTAAAGGTAATATATACCGGCCCTGACAGCAACACCTACTCATTGTGAAAAATGAGTTATAGAAATCAGCACAATCCAATTTGGTGCATGGATGTAACCAAAAGGTCACGGTGATGCTGTTCAAATGTCGAGTCTTCTAACAATTAGAGGAAACTTTGAATCTTCCATGAAAAGTTTAACGTATGTTATAGAGATCAAAAGAGCTTGAACCAGAGCTTTGACCAGCCAATGACTGAGCAATCTAACCTTGGATTCTAACATATCAGTGAAAGTGTGTATACTCAGTAATACTAGTAACTGTCTCCACCTCTGTTCCTGGTCAGTACCCCCTAACACACTGAATATCATTGGGAATCATCCGACACGCAAGACTCTTGTTGCCCCAGAAATTAACATCTCGCTGGATCAGAGTGAAGGCTCCATTTTGTCAGATGATTACCTGGATACACCTGACGACCTCGACATTAATGTCGATGACCTGGAGACTCCGGATGAGACAGATTCCCTGGAATATTTAGGAAATGGAAATGAGCTGGAGTGGGAAGGTAATTTTGAAAATTTCCTTTGGTTTTCTATTTTCTCCCTTTCTATCCAGTATGGGGCTGACTATTGCTAGACTTAAACATCCCCAGTTACAGGTTCCTATGGGACCTCACCAAAGTGACATTCTTTAGATATGAGCCAAGCCAGTTTTCCAATCGTCAGGAAGATCCAAGCTGATGAACTAGGAATTATATTGCCAGAGCTCAAGGCACCGACTGTGAGGTTAGAGTCTATTTTCAATTCCCATCAAGCTTGGTGCAATGAGAGTGAGTATTACCCATGAAAGGATTCTGACTATGCTGTTTGATTGTTCCTTCTGGTTGGCTACCATTGATTGTATTGTGGAGTTTACTCTGTGTGGACATCTTTCTCTACTGCATATTTACTTCTGGTTGAATAAAATGGTTTCCCCCAAATTAAGGACAGTGCTGAGTATAAGGGTTAATTCTGCGAGTCTTCGCTACCAGTACAAGTTCTTTGAACAGTGGGTTCAATAACAGAGTAAAATATTACAGTCTCATATTGCCTCAACATTTAAAAGACATTTGGACAGGTACATGGATAGGAAATGTTTAGAGGGATATGGGCCAAATGCAGGCAAATGGGACCAGTTCAGTTTAGGAAACCTGGTCGGCATGGACAAGTTGGGCCGAAGGGCCTGTTTCTGTGCTGTATGACTCTATGACCATCCTCTGAGGCAGTGAGTTTTGGCGCCCTACCATCCTTTGTTGAAAAGGCTCTCCTGTAATCTGTGGCCCCTAATTAATGACCTCTCTATAAAAGGAAAATAAGTCCTTTCTATCTGCTTTATCCAGGCTCCCTCGGATTTTATACACATGAATTAAATCACTCTTTAGCGTCCTCCGTGCTGAAGAATTAGCTTGTCCCATCTTTCCTCATGGTTAAAACTCACCATTGCAGGTGACATTCTTATAAATCTCCTCGATACACCCTTGACATAAAATGTAGATTTTGTTTTTTTCGAAAAGGTTTGGCTGAGGTGTATCTATGCAAGATAATGAGTAAGAATAACCATGCACTAAATGTACGAGTTGCAGTCATTGGCTTATGTAAAATTCAGGGAAAGTATTCAAAGGAGAGGTAGAGAAGGAGAGATAGAGAAGGGAGGATATGAGAGAGAGCAAGGCTGGATTTTCCTCCGTTATTCCTGCTCGAAACTGGGAACTGGGACTTGATTGGACTGTGAGGTATGCCGCTTCACCCTTCTGTACCTATCAATAGCAACTGGGAGAGAGGTCCATAGTGGCCTCCTTTCCCTCTAAATGGATCCCAGTTACTGATCTCCAGGTCTTGCTGAAGCTAAAGTAAAATGTTATAGTCCTCTTTGAGCCAGTTCTGCCCTCCAACATGCATACTGCCTCTTCAAGTGCGGTAGCAACTGTCCCACTGCAGAATTCTGTATGGTTATAATCACCTTCCTTTTGTTAGGTGGGGTGGAGTATAGGGTGCTGCATCAAATGGTCTCTTAATCAAGAAAACAGGTTTACAGCAGGGTCACCGCATTTAGGAAAGGAGAATCCAGTTCATGATGTGTTTGTTTTACTAATTTTCATCTTTCCGAAAATAAAAATATGTTGAAGTCACTAAATTGCCTTGGCCGAGAGAGGGAGCAAGAGGAGTAATTAACAATCAAAATTCAGAACAGCGTGTCGAAAGAGAGGGATTGAAAGGAAAAGGAATGTTTAGAATCAAGATGGCATGGAAAAGTGCATCAGGGAAACAGGGATAGAGAAAGAAAAAGAGAACCCTGGTAGAGAGAGTTTGAGGAGAAAAAAGTTAAAGAGGATGAGAGAAGAGTTGAAGAGAAGAGACAAAGAAAAGATATTGTGAAAGCTGGACAGTTCTTTCCTCATTTTAACTTGACTATTATTTTAAAATGGAATTTTGAAAGTAAACCAAACTTCTGAAATAACTAGATAGGAGGAAAGACCAGAAAGGGGAAGTGAGTGGGAACCTACTTGAAGGTACTGGAGCATTTGACCTCTCCCATCAGCCCTGAGGAGGAGTGAATAGGAACAGATGGAGGATTAAGAATGAAATGAGTGACTGTGGAATGTAGATGGGTGCACGATAGTATAAAGAGGTTGAACGGACAGTTCAAGGAGGAGTGAGATGGTGATAGGATATGGAAGGAGTAGGTAGAAAAATAAAAAGGGTGAGAATGCCGTGGGTTGATGGAGATGTGACAGATTGAGGACAGAAATAGAAAGACAGCTGCAAACATATCCAAATTTCCACACCTCAAATGCACACGTTGGTGGCTTCTTTATTTCACTGTTGCACGTCACATGAGCCAGAGCTGCTCACTTAAAAAGGAAAGTACTTAAAAATAGAAAAAATAATACAAAGGGAAGTAAAAAAAGAGTCAAGGAAGACAAGAAAAAGAGAAACTAAAGAAAATATTAAAGGTAGATGGACAGAACGGAGAACAATAGCAATCAGAGACAGGAGAGTGACCATCTTCCTCAACTGTTGACAACAGTAAAGATTAAATATCTTAAACTCATTTCCTATCTTCAAATCCTTATTTCTTGTTGCTAATACTATACAGCTGTTTAATATTAATTTTAGACATTATATATTCCTGTGTTGATATAGAAACCTGTCAAGTATAATTACACCGTCCTGCTGATGGTGGAAATGTAGCTCCTCTGTTTTGCTCCTCGCAGGTCCTTAGTGTATGCCACAGCGAAACTCTTAAATTCCAGCCCACTATATAAATAATAGAAATACGAAGTATTGTATAAAGATAATGAGAAGAAAGATGAAATGAGAGTTTTATCTACTGACCTCTGTCCAAATGTCACCCACTGTTTAACCTTGAACATTACCTGCAGTCTTGATAACACAAGTACACTTCTAATGGAGATGTATTTGGGTTTGAAAGAAACTAAGTGAAGGTATTGAACAGTCTCATTCTGCGTTGCAAAGGAGGCACATATTTCTAGGCATTGCAGGCAGTCGCACATGTCAGTTTTGGATTCAGCATGATTTATTTTCTTGATCCCTGTACCACAGAATAAAGGGATAATACTGATTATTGACTAGAGACATTGCCTCATCTGTCTATGGATAAATTACTGGCACCATCTTATGCCCCTTTTTGTTTCTGCATTTTCTACTTATGGGCATGCGTCTTGAAAAGGGACTAGATGATACATGTCCCCATGAGGTGTGCTTCTGGTGGGGTAGGGAGGGGGGAGGCAAATAAAACAGGGTCACTGACCAGCCACACCTACTCACCCCCATTACACAGTGGCATCAAAAATCAGCAGCATGCTGGTTTATTTAAATAAACAACAAAGGGTAATTTGTGATTGGAATTTGTGGACAAGCAAATCGTCCAGGATTGCTGTCCAAAAACTCCTCTTGCAAAGTAAATGTGCAAATTGTCAGCCAGATACACAATTGGGTTCCACTACAATAAAAACAAGAAATAATGGCAATACTCAGCAGATCAGGCAGCTACTATGGAGAGAAACAACGTTAACATTTCAAACTGAGATGACCTTTCGGCAGATTTCCAGCACTTGTGCTATTTTGCTTCTGGGTTGAGCTCCACCTTGCACATAGTTTGACAGTCAGGCATTTCCCACTGGTCCAATTGGGTGAAGTACCAAGCTCCATAATTCAGGCAAAGTTTGCACCTTGAGTACAAGTTGGAAAAATGAAATCTCGATCAAATGAACGCGACCCTATCTTACTTGAAGTGAGACAGTTAAGGACATTGAGGAGAGATCTACTAACTGTCTTCCAGATGATACTCCAGTTGCAAGTGCAAAAAACTCTCCCAGTGCAAAAGGGGGCTCCTTTGAAGACTGTGCAGGAGATGGGGAATCTACCAATGGGAGACTGTGGAGGACAATCATCATCGGAGAGCAGGAACACAGGATTGATATGAAAATAATCAGGCCATATATGAGAGTGGTGACACACGGAGGTAAGGATAGCTTCCCAGGTTGGTATGGAATGAGAAGAGTTTTAATTTTTTCAATTTTATATTTTGCAAGATGGAAGAATAATAGCTGGCATCAGAAGTTTGTTCTGTGCCAGAACATAATTTGCAGCCTTTTTCCATTGGCCCTGAGTGAACAGAGTTTGAAATTAGCTGCTTAAAATGCAAACAAGCAGTGGGAGCAGGCCAGTTGGCCCCTCAAGCCTTATGTGCCATTTAATAGGATCATGGCTGATCTAAATAAATTTGTGACGTGGATAGTCTGGTGCGCACTGTAATGGTGGTCTGACGGTTTGCACTGTGGCAATTTTGAAATGTGTGATTGCATGAATGCTAGGGTTTCGGCTGGGAGAAATCACTAAAAGGACAAGAAAGGGAAAGAAAGCACATGGAGATCCTGAGCCACCCCAGGAGGACATCATATTAGAATTGGAACAAAGGCTTTAAGAAGATAACAAAGCACAGAATGAGAAAAGACCATCACTTACTTCAGCTACAGCCCATGTACAGGCTAACATGGATTCTGTAAATGTCTCTAATCTTTTTTCACACTCTGTGTAAAGTTTACCTTGTCACTTGACCCATCCCGCACCTGCACTGTTCGACTCTGGACTGTGCCCTTCACAAACCTTTACTCTCTTTTTCTCACTCTGACACTCCCATTCCCCCTTCTCTGTGCCCCTGTACTTGTGGACCATTGAATATTTAATTCGGTTAATCTCTCCCCATTCCTTTAAACTGCAGCACTATTCCCAAGGAGACATTTGCCCAGCTATTTCATAATTAGCTCAACTGTTTTACGTGAGATTCTCTGCCACATATTCTAATCCACGAGTAGGAAGTTATTCATCTTGCTGTTATTGAAGATATGAAACCATGTCTTCTAATTCTCTGCTCACCAGTGCCAGCCAAGCAGCCAAATTTCCAACTCTACTCCTCTTCATTGTAAAGACTCGGAGCAAGTTCCCTCTCAGCATTTCATCCAGCGAAAATAATTGCTTTTCGAGCCAGTTATACCCATTGTAGTGACAATATTTGCTGTTTATTAAACACTACTGTTTGAAGCTGTCATGCATTATACAAGTTAAAACTTCTGTCTTCCTCTTAGGTTATTATGGTGAAGGTCTGAATGCAATTATCGTATTTGCTGCGTGTTATTTACCCGACAGTGGTTGTGCAGATTATACCTACATCATGGAAAACCTGTTCCTGTAAGTGCCCTGTCCAGTCTTTATATGCCGTCCCTCCCAGTTAGAGTCACTAGTTTCTGAATTATCCTCTAGTTGTCAAAGTTGGAAAGCAGTAACAGTTCACTCCGTTAATTCAGTTGAATATTATTTTAATGTTACTAAACTGAAGTGAAAATTCAAGGTTTACAGTGCAAGACAACAGCAGGGGCAGAAGATGAATAAAATGACTGTGACCTCAAGTTTGGGTTTCAGAAGCCTGTAGATTGTAGAGTGAAAGGATGTGGCAAAAATGTAAGGAATTCCATAGTTTTGAGATCCTGGTAAAATACAGTCTAGAGCAGTGGACAGGAACAATTCTGGGAGAAGAAAACATGAGGAGAATGGAGTAGTTAAAATTTACACTTAAATAAGATAGGAAAGCTCATATTAACACTGATTGTAGTTTTATCAACAAAATATTAAAAGACAGTTGAGACAAAAAATGGAGACAGAAGACCAGGAAAGGATGCTTTTTCTTACGTTCCAGTTTCCTTGCACTTCACTTTTACAGATTAGCTCAGAAACATGATTCCATACATGGAATATTTTGAATTTAGGTTCCCTCTTTCCTGTCCAGGCACTATTGAGTTTTGTATCAACATTAGTGTCAGCTTTAAGACTTTGCTTCCACCTCAGGTCTATACATGAACTTTGCAGCAGGATCACTTGATAGTCATCAGGAGCAGAGACTTTGGAAATATTTTTGCCACACTCCCTTTCATGCGCTCTGAAAATGTTTGTTTTACTAGGGAGATCTGCTACTTCAGCACAAACCAGGGGATATTTAATAGCAAAAGCATGAATTTATATTGCCCTGTTACTGTAGACAAATTGACTCAAAGCTCTTGACAAAGTCATAATCAAACAAGTGGAGGTCAAGCAAAAGTAATAACTCCTTTGGGTCTCATTGTGGTCCCTCGTCCTCTTGTGCTGAACATTTCCAACACTAATTATACAGTATTACAAGGAGTGAGCAGTAAGGGTGCAATATGTCCCTTCAATATTTAGGGTCTGAGAGGAGGGTGGAACTAGTGGTGAAGCAGGTGGGACATTGCCATTTTTCTCAGGGGCCTGTATAATAGCGCAGCCCGGAGACTGTTCAGCTCTAATGGTCGATATTACCGAGAGGTCACCAGATATCTAATCATTAGGGTCTGAGATCTGTGATTGGATCCAGAGCTTTTATTCTGTTTCTCAACGTTAATACTCAGCCCTGAAGAGTTGCATTCTCAACCATTAACATCTTTCATTTAGCTGAAAACAAACACTGAGGAAGAGGCTGGATGGGGAGAATGACAGCCTCACTATTGCGCATATGTACGTGAGAGAGAAAATATTAAGGACTGCAGTACATACCTCTCCCAGCCCCCATTTGGAAAATCTGTCATTATGCACTATCTAGACTGACATATGAAGAACTGATGCTTGATCAAGCTGCCAGAGGACTGATGAGACCTGCAGAACTAGACGCTGACCAGGGGAAAATTGGAAACAGTTAGCTGCTCAGATTCTGTCTGTGCTTCTGTGACCCCTGGTTGAATGTGGCTGTTTCTTTTTCTGTCCCTCAGGTATGTGATCAGTATCTTGGAACTGCTGGTTGCTGAAGACTATATGATTGTGTACCTGAATGGGGCCACACCTCGCAGAAGGATGCCAGGCCTAGGCTGGCTGAAGAAGTGTTATCAGATGATAGACAGAAGGTATGTGCAGAGTAACAGACCATCATGGTAAGGGGAGATAAGATCCTTCAGTCTATAACTGTTCTCTTCTAAACCTGGTTAAACCTGTGTCAAACCAGGCTAGTGCTGTTTGCCATCTGTCAGATTGTGATCTCTCCTCCATCCTACCCTGCCTCCAGTTGCTTCTTTCCTCTCACTTTACTAACTTAATTCTCCTGTTCTCTCCCCTGCAATTGTCAATTATTTTTTGGTAGAGCTCGTGCCTACAGTTCTGAATAAGAATCATACAGGACTGTTTCTCTGTCCACAGATGCTGCCAGAATTGCAGAGTTTCTCCAGCACTTGCTGCCTCTATTCCAGATTTCCAACATTCACAGTATTTTGCTTTTATTTGAGTGTCCTACAGTGACTGAATATGCCTTATTCACTTTGATTGTATCAAATGTTGGGATTTTTATTGTCTATGGGTATTGAATTGTGTAATTGTTTCACTTTCTGTGAAAGCCGCAAATCAAAGCCTTGTTTGTTGGGAATTATAAAATTATGATGTTCTTTAAATTTACTTTGCATATTTACATTTAGCTGTGTTTGTTTGAATTTAAATGCGTATATTTAAAGTCTGTTGCTGTGTTTAAATTTAGCTCAGCGTGTTTAAATTCAGCTGCATGTGTTTTCCACTTTGTCAGTGCAAACTGTTTTCAACAAGGTGTTGGGGAACATAAACCAGAACAGTGAGGGAGCAGGCTATTTTGAGGCCTTTGAATGCACTGTTCAGACCACAAATGGAGAGCTGTGTGCAGTTCTGATCAATGCACTGTAAACATGAATGTAGAATCACTGAAGAAATAGCAGAGAGGAATCTGGAGTAATACATTGCAGTTCCAACTCGGGATAAAGCTCTTTTAAATCTGGTATTATGGTATGAAACAGAATTAGTGTTTCTTTCATTTATGGCCTCCATCCCTACTTAGCCTTGAGAAGTGATGGTGAACCAATTTCATGAATTGCTGCATTTAGGTGATGTAACTACATCCACAAAGCTGTTAGGGAGGGATTTCCAGTATCTGACTCAACAACAGTGAAGGAACAGTGATATAGTTCTAAGTTAGGATGCTGTATCATTTGGAAGGAAACTTGCAGTTGATGGTGTTCCAATATGTGGCTGCTGTCTTTGTCCTTCTAGGCAGGGCCCGTGAGGGAGGGTGCATTTGCAGCTAACCCCCGAGAGTAAATCTTATGAGTCTGTAAATATCTTATTTACCCTAGAACTATTCTCTGGCTTAGTCTTTTAGTTCTCTCCTGCACTTTCTTTATTATTTCTCTGCTAAAGTTAAATCCCATCATCTTCTCCCGTGTGTAAGTGTGTGTGTTTGTGTCAGAGTGAGAGTTTTTCTTTCATTCACTAATGCTGATGTTAATAGCTGGGCCAGCATTTACTAGTTATCCTTGAGAAAGTGGTGATGAGCTCCTTCCTGAGCTACTGCAGTCTCTGTGCTGTAGGTAGACCCACAATGCCCTTAGGTAAGGAATTCAGAATTCGGACCTGGCTAGTAAAGACAATACAATCAGGATGGTGAGTTGCAGTGTGAGTGAGTGTGTGAATGACACAGGCTGAAAGGCAACTTTCTTTTGACCCCCAAATACATATGAATTCTGCCAAAGACTCCAACCACCGGGGCAAATACAAGGTCAGTGTTAGTTAAACCGATCTCTAGCTTACTCTCAATTTCCTCCCTCCCTTGGTGATTGAGGCCTAGCCCGTTTCTCTCCAACTTTGCTTCTTTTGTGAAAAGGCAAAAAAAAAGAAACAACTCTATTGCTTGAGATATCAAGGTGTAGAGCTGGATGAACAC